TTCACAATCTTTTTTTTCTCTCTCTCTGCCCCCCCTCTCACACAACCCCCTCCCCAGAATCAGTGGATGTGTCCACTCTAAGCCCTATCCGTACGCCCTGGGGGTTGTATTCTTCACATTTTAGAATACTTCTAGTACAGAGATCTCTTTAAAACTTTCAGTATTTCTCAAAAAATCATTTAGACAGACAGACTGCTATGCAAAGCGTACGGATCGGACTAACGAGTAAAATTAATTTCCTCTTTGGAAAGTGGTGGCACAGCGTCCCCGACGTCATAATAATTGTGAGGCAGCGTGGTGGAATCAGGCTCTCGTCAATTTTTAGGCATGTAGAGTTATTGGTTTCATCTTGTTCACTTGTCTTTTCATCTGGCTGAAAAAAAATCCATTTATCTGAATATAAGTCGAGATATTAGCAATTGAAGGAGCTGGGGGGTCACCTGTTTTCAGAGGTAGAATTAGTGAGAAAATGGCGGCCAAAGATTAGTTATTTCCTTAGCTTAAGAGTCCGTGGTAACTGAAAATTTACTTTTTGTGTGCCTTTAAATGTTTTTTAGAAAAATACACACAGAAATGAGTTTTTTAATGGGCATGAAAGGTGTTGAACAAAAAACCCAAAAAATTGATAAAAATTCACAAACCTGCGGAAAAAACAAGTTTGTTCACTTTAATTATTTTGACGAGAGCCTGATTCCCCCACGCTGCCTCACATATGGATACGATAGTAAAACACGACGTCCGGTTAACATTCGTAATTATTTCGGGTCTCTTTATCTTGAAAAATCATTTGAAAAGATAGGCCTAGAGCATCCCGGTTTGTCTGTTAACAGTTGTCTCCTTCCCCCTGTTACTGTTAGATAAAAGTATTGCCACTTGGGCTCATTTCCTGCCGTACGAAAGTCAGAAATTCGGCAGTTTTTCAAGTTGTTTGACAGGAAGAAAATAATTTATCTCTCTCGGCAGATTGTCAATTCTTGTTGTTGTTGTTGTTGTTGTTGTTGTTGTTGTTGTTGTTGTTGTTGTTGTTGATTTTGTTGTTGTTGTTGTTTGTGGTGGTGGTGGTTGTTGTTTTTGTTATTGTTCATTTTGGTTTTTGTTCTCGTGTGTTTTTAATGGGTTTTTTAATGAGGGGGGAGGGGGTGTCTTTTGACAGTGTTCTTTATCTCTGATTCTTTGTATCTCCTGCAATAAGCAAATGAGAGGCGAGCTGACAAAATGAGTTACTTTTCGCAGTCCAAGAATGGAGATATCGGCCGAAAATCGACGACACTGCGGTCAGATTTATAGATTTCTAATTGATGCCATTTTGTTCAAGTCTACCGTGTCTTTTATTATTTATTTCTATTTTTTAAATTACAAATTGTACAAACTCCACCTATAAAGTTGATGGATCAATTTTCATAAGGCTAAAATCGGAGAAGTAACTCATTTTGTCAGCTCACCTCACAAATCTCTGAATATCTGTTAATTTTGACGGAGCCAGCTTATGGTAATATTAATAAT